AGATGAGAAAATTGAGTCTCAGGGAGGTTGTAACCATTCAAACTCAGTTCCTCAGAAGCCAAATTCAATTCTCTTTCTACTGTACCATACTACTAATAGACCAAGTTGGTCAACTAGAGATCTGAGGTAGAACAATGTGAAACAAGTCTAAGAAAGGTAGGCTAGTATCATATTGTAAAGGGTATTAAATACCAAACAAGTACAGTTTGAACACATCTACTATAAGACTTAGATAGTCTGTTGGTTAGTTTTGATGAACTATCCTTTTGTTTTGTTTTTGTTTGTTTGTTTTTTAGCAAGGGATGGTAGAGAGATATATTTGGAAATTAAGGTGGTATAAAATTTAAAAGAATTTAAAAATTTAGAGTTTGTAATTTTTTTCTAGTGACAACAGGGAATCACTGAGGCTTCTGCAGCAAGTAGTAGCATGGTCACAAGGTCTTCTGAAATGTTGATTTGTTTGATGCATGGAGGATGGATCGTAAACAAGAGGGACTGCAGGCAAGAAGACAAGGACATTATTGCAATAGTTCAGGCAAGTGGTGATGAGAGTTTGAACTAGGAAGATAGGGGGAGGAAAAGCTATATGAGTAGAAAGAACAGATGGAAGAGATGTTCTAGAGATATCAGCAAGACTTGGGAATTAGCTGAATGCTCAGGGGGAGGCAAATGAAGAGGGTAGGATGACTACAGGGCTGAGAACCTGGAAGAAAGGAAGGACAGGAAAGAAAAGCATTTATTAAGTACCTACTATGTTCCAGACACTGTACTAAGTGCTTTACAAATATTATCTCATTTGATCCTTATGATGACCACTGAAGGTGGGTGTTGTTATTATCTTCAATTTACAACTGAGGAAACTGAGGCAGATAAAAGTTAAATGACTTTTCCAGGGTCATACAACTAGTGAGAATCTGAGGCTGAATTTGAACTTGGGTCTCCTGACTCCAGGCTCAGGGCTCTGTCCCCTACATCATCTAGCTGCCCCTAACTTGGGTGACTGGAACGATGGTGTTAAATACTCACTGGAATGCCTGCTCAGTGCCAGGTACTGTAGGTAACGAAGATTCAGAAGCAAAAATTAAATAGCCCTTGCTCTCAAGGAGTTTACATTCTATAGGGAGTATACATACTTGTATGTATACACATACAAGACACAGAATGCCCAAAAGTCCAGGTCCAGTTTTCTGTTATTACAACTTAAAACTTAACTAAGATTTTTGGGTCATCATATGTAGAAGATGCTAGGTAACTTAGAGGGGAGGCACTAGCAGCTGAGGGAATCAGGAAAGACTTTATAAGGGGTGACAGTTTTTTTTGTTTGTTTGTTTTTGCTAGGAAATAGGGTTAAGTGACTTGCCCAGGGTCACCCAGCTAGTAAGTGTTATATGTCTGAGGCCGGATTTGAACTCAGGTCGGTCCTCCTGACTCCAGGGCTTGTGCTCTACCCACTGCACCACCTAGCTGCCCTGGGAGGTGACACTTTTGAAGGAAACTGGGAAGCCTAGGGATTCTCAATAGAAATAGGGAAATTAGGAAGGACAGTGGGCTTGGGGTAGAACAACTCCATCTTGAATATGTTACAAACCTGCCAATACCTGGGCTTCTCGTTCCTTACACGTAACATCCTATCTCCTATGGACGTGCTTTTGCCCAGGTTGTGCCCTAAGCCTGGAATGCATTCCCTTTTTCCCTCTTGTGGAACAGAGGTTAAACATGTTCTGCTTCCCATAAGACCAAGTGTAGACCAATAACTGGGAGCTGCAGAGAAGCAGAGTTAGGCTTGATGTAAAGAAAAATGTTTCTAACATTTAAAGGTATCCCAAAGTGAAGTGGGATGCCTTGGTAAGAAATGGATTTCCCCTCCTTGGGGATTGGATCTTCAAGGAGAAGCTAGACTTTTGGGCATGTGGTCTAGAGGGGATTCTTGACTGGTTGAAATGGACGTTTTCTGAGGTTAATTCCAACTTGGATTCCATGAAACTCAGAATTTCTGGTAGCTAAGTAGACCAAGAAGCCCAGTTCTAGTTTGCTATGGTCTCAAGTGATCTTGTCTCTACAGCTCCACATCAAAATCATTTTCCTACTCCCTTAGTTTTCTTTACATTTTAATAAAATTTTTATATTCATCCATAAGTTATTTTCTTTAGGTGACTTTCCTATCTATCCCTTGGCTTTAAAAACATTTGGTTCTCAGTAATGGCAATATTGTCACATGATCAACTAAGATAGACTTAGCTCTTCTCAGCAATACAATGATCCAAGACAATTCCAAAAGAATCATGATGCAAAATTCTAGCCACATCCAGAGAAAGAACTATGGAGTCTGAATGCAGATAGAAGCATACTATTTTCTCTTTTTTTCCCCCCTTTCTTGTGGTTTTTCCCTTTTGTTCTGATTCTTTTTTCACCACATGACTAATGTGGAAACATATTTAATATGATTGTACATGTATAGTCTATATCAGATTGCATGCCATCTTGGGGAGAGGGGAGGGGAGAGATGGGGAAAATTTAGAACTCACAATCTTATAAAAGTGAATGTTGAAAATTAAAAATTAATCAATTAAAATTTAAAAATTAAGGGAAAAAAGAACATTTGGTTCTCCTTTGAGAAGGAAATTAAATCTTATCTGTGTTCATGGTCTCCATGGGAAGCAGAAGTAAAATAGTCCTCAAAACACAATCTCTAGGTGTCTAAAAAACCTAAAAATTAATCACTGTTGAAGAGGGCAGTGATTTGAACAAAATCACACAATGACAGACATTTAGGGCTCAGATGGACAATAGGGTTCACTTGGTCCCAACCTCTCATTTTTATTTCCATCTCTTAAATTTCTATAACTTCATGCTTATTATGACAAAAACTTCTTTGTTTACAAAGCCTACGATGAAGTACTAAACAAATGAGCTTTCCTCTTCCTTTTAAGTGTAATGGTTAGTAAAAAGTGAGTGCTCCATTTTTTATGATAACAAATCCTAAATCTCTGTCAGCTTGGAACCTATTAGCATCAGGTTGTAAGAATATAAATAATCAGCCTGCCTACATCATAACCTTGTACCCTAAACCATATAAACTGATTCAAATTAGTTGAATGCCCTTGCACCTCTGAACCTTCTCTCAGCTTATTCCCTAGGCAAGAAAAGTCCTACTTTAGATGTCAAAGTTTTCTCTCTTTGTGACTTACCCATGTTCTTCGTGCCTCTCCAGACCATACTGCTGACTGTCAGGACTTTCTCTACCACCATGCTGCAGAAACCTCCTCATCCTGGAAGTTCAATATATCCCCTAAATTTTTCACACTGGACATACTTGCTACTATGGTGCCTTCCTCTGATTGCCTTAAAATAGAGGTTCTGGGAGGAACCAGCCAAACATCCAGGCTAGCCATGTCTACATTCCTCCTCAGGTCCCCCACTCCTGACTTATTGGACTTTCTCTACTATGTCCTTATATACTTTTCAGCTCAATTTTATATGTATGTTCCCCTATTAGAGTGAGCTCCTTAAGGGCAGGGATTGTCTTTCTCTCTGTTTGTATCTGTATTCCTAGCACTCAGCACAGTGCCTGGCACATAATAACTGCTTCTCAAATGCTTGTTGACTTGGCTTCACTTACCTTGTACAATGTTTACACAAGTGCCATTAGAAATGCTTGCTGATGACTTCCCTGTCAAAACCCTTCACAATAGAAGACATCTATTCATCTTGTTTACCAGAAAATACCTCTGATGCTCTAAGATTTTTTCCCCCATAACTTTCTTGCCTCATTCAGAAAGCAGTTTAGCTTGCTATGATAGCAAAAAGGTAGTATGAAGGTCTATCTTTTTTTGTTGTTTCTCAAGTGGTCTTACCCAAAGGATGAGAGAATATAGAATTAGGCAGAACCTAATCACATCCATCTTTTCAAATGATCATTGGAAATATCATATTGCTAAATTTCCAAAGGAGAAACAAGGGTTTCTATAACCTTCCTAATTGACCATGCTTTATTCTAGACTATCACTGGGAAACCATAAAGGGATGCCCAGTATATTGCTCTGACAAAAAGTTAAGTGGCCTAGAGTAATAGCAGCAGCCGTCTTTACATTTCCCGTACAGTACAAATCCCTATGACATCACAACATGGATCCTCTTACATAAGGGCCAGTAGGCTTTAGCCTGGACCAGTTCAATCTGGGGTTCCTCAGTTTGTGTATGTATTTTGTAGGAAGGGGTAAGTTTGCAGTATTTGTTTGGGTTGGCTTCATAGGAGCTCTCCAGTAGTTTCAAGGTACCACAACCATGCCTCAATAAAGCCAGCTTGGTCCAGATCTCCTAAAGGGACTTGGGCCCCATAGGAAATAGTCTTAAGACAGATCATTCTTCCTATCCTTGGTTCCTCAGTCCTCCGGAATTGGCCTGTGCCAGCCCAAGATGGAACAAGAATACTGAGACTGCCTTGATTTAGACCTAATAATATCAATAATAGCTAGCATTTAGAATTTATATAGTGCTTTAACCCCTCCAAAATAAAGAGAACACTTAACAACAGGATGATATCACCACCACCACCACCTCCTCCAAAAAAAGGCAAGTCCATTTCACGGCCAACCTGGCCTATAAACATAGACTCCATATGCTGGGATATTGGACATCCAATTGTTATATTCAGGGGGTAGTGACAACCAATAAGTCAATGCTAAGATGTGCCCTAGGACACTGACATGAAGATTTAATGTATGAATAATAATAATATAGTCGTATGTCATTATCTCATTTTATTTTTTATTATCTCCTTTTATTTTTTATTATTCTATTTATAGTTTATAAATGCTATCCTGGGGAAGCTATTGGATTTATGGAAGCACTTGCTATAAACAATTAATTCTTTTTCTCCCCCACCTAATTATTTTTCATTTTTTAAAGTAGAACATATCACTTATATAATAGCACAGGAAACAAAAATTTTTTATCAAGAGATATCCTGTTATACTTTTATTCATCTCTTTAAAATTTACCTAATTAATTTGATAGCTTCTAGTTCCTCTGTAGTTGGCAATGAATTCATCTTCAGGAAAATCATGTTGAATGTGAAATCATCCAAAAAGACCGAGGCACTCTTCACATCACTAATAGTGATTGTGATTTCAGCTGTATTTGAAAATAATCTCTGTACAATTTCAGCCAGGTTCCCAACAGCAACATCTCCAACTAATAAGAGGTCAATTTCTGCCTAAAGGAGATGGGGGATGGGATGGGGGAAAGTACAAGTACCACACAGTTAGTATGGAGTCTGAGAGAAGATTCATAGCTGTCAAAGAAGAGAAAAATAAATTTATGCAAATATCCAGACTTCATTACATTAGTTTAGTTTGTATTATTTCTAGTAATTTCCCAAAAAAAGACTGTGTGGTTGTTTTTGCAAGTGTCTACTTTTCACAGAATCACAAAGTTGGAAAGGATCTCAGTGGCTAATTTGTCCAACCCTTATCTGAAAAGAATTTCCTCTAGAATATACCTCACAAGTGGTCATCCTAGCTGTGAGAAGAGATCTTCAATGAGGGGCAATTCCCTATCTCCTAAGGTAGACCAGTCCACCGTCGGATAGCGCTAATCATTAGAAAGGTTCTCCTTATAGCTAGCCTAAATTTGCCTCTTTGCAATGAAATTCTGTTCTCTAGGCACTCTGCCGACAAGCAGAATGTATCTAATCCCTCTCCCCTAACAAATGTATGTATGATGATGTTGTTTGTCCTTCCTTCTTGAAGAGGACCATGACATTGGAAAGGTGATGTCATGACTTGCAAGTGAATCGGATTTAAGTGAAGCAGGGCTATGCACAGTCACCAGGCTCACTCTCTCCTCCTAAGCCATCTGGGTCCAGCAGTGGCAAGATATAGATCAGGATGACTGAAGATGGCCCCAGATGCAGGGGGGGACCTTGGCCTTTTGAAGCTAAGGTCTTTCCCAGGTCTCAGTTTGTCTGAGGCAATGCTCATTCAGTGATTAAGACTAGGTAAGAAATGAGGCAAAAAATGGCCTCTTTTATCTAGAAAAAAAAATCTAAGGGAAGACCCTCAGAGTTTCTGACCAAACAGAAACAACTGCTATTTACATCTACCCTGAGCCATCAGAACCCAAACAATGACCAAGGTAGGCATGGGCTGGGACCTGTTGTTGGCCAATCAGTTAGAGTCAGTGTGTAATGTGCCTAACTGCCAGACAGGCTAATCCGAGGATCTCAGAAGATTCTTTGTGGCTCTGTGATTAAAAGAGCTCAAAGAGTGAGGATGTGGATACAACCCTGCACTTGGAATCAGGAATACTAATCTTCATAAATTCATATCTGGCCTCAGACACTTTACTAGCTATGTGACCCTGGGCAAGTCACTTAACCCTGTTTGCCTCAGTTTCCTCATTTGTAAAATGAGCTAGAGAAGGAAATGACAAACTACTCCAGTACCTTTGCCAAGAAAACCTCAAATGGGGTCATGATGAGTTGGGCCAGACTGAACAACAAATCATAACCCCAAATTTTCTCTTCTCCAGGCTAAACATCCTCAGTTTCTTCAAACAGTTCCGAGACTAGGTGAACTTGAGGTCTTTCACATTCTAGTTATACTTCCTCAGATGTCATCCAGCCTATCAACCACCTTCCTAAAATGTGGCACCTAGAACAGGATAATCTACATAGAGTTTGCCTAGGGCAGAAAGCAGCAAGATAATTATATACTATTCAATACTGGTTATTTTACCAGTTAAATTTGGAGGAGTAAAGTAGGGGAAAAGGAAGTAATAGATGATACCATAAGTAGAAATAAGGAAGACTGAATGTGCTAAAAATATACATTCATAAGCAATTGTCTACTGCTTGAGAGTAATACAATTAATTTAGATTCCCATCCAGAGTTCAAATACTGCCACTGATGCCTGCCATCATGTTAGCTTGGGCAAAAGGCTTCAGACCACTCCATGATACTCAGACTTCAGTTACCTCTGTAAAATGAGGAGGTTGGGCTAATTGGCCTGAGATCCCTTCCAACTCTAGATCTTGATCTAAGTAAGGGTGAACTTTCCCAGCCAAAAAAAAAAAAAGCACATAAAATCTCCTATGTTGATCAATACCAGAACTGGATTGGTGAATAGCCCCTGCACTTCCAGCCCAGGCAAGACAGGGAGACCCAGTCTCAGAAACAACCTCCACTCTCAAATAACAAAACAAGACTGAAAGAACCTAGCACAATGCCTTACTTGTAAAATTTGCTTCAGAAAAACTTATTGAATGAAATTATAGTGTAATGGGGACTTTCATGTGCTAAGATCACATAAGATAGAGGCACCCATACGGGAGATAGCAGGGATCTGATTCTGGGAGAAGACATTCTGTGTTGCCCTACCACATGGTCAAGAATAGCCCCTTCCCCTTGGCTTTGTAGCAGGAATAGGTTGCATCTTTTAAAACACCAGATTAAAAACAGCCCGTCAATTGGGGAATAGCTGAACAAGTTGTGGTATATGATTGTGATGGAATACTACTGTGCTATAAGAAATGATGAGCTTGAATGATGTTTCTTCTCCTGGTAACAAAAAACCTAGAAAATCAATAGCCTATTCTTCATGAAGTACTTATGTTTTCATTGAGTCAGAGTAATGACGTTCTGTAATGCAATGTTATAGGTGTTCTAGTCTCCTGGAAACAGCGATTATTGTGTAGATTTTGATAAATATCTTTGGGATGTTTGTCATATGTTAAGTAGTGGTTACTTTTTATACTTCAAAAGGTGAAAAGCCCTCCAATTTTACTGATGTATTTAGATAAATTTAGAGGAAACAAATTTACAGCAAAATTTTTAGACCCTTCCTTTTCAGTATAGAGTTTTCTGGTGCTAAATGGTACTACTCAGAAACCCTAAACATTAGTACTTCTCGGGTAAACAAGATCCCATGCCATTTATCTGCATAAGATTTTTAGGAAGCTCATAATCTGGAAGCAGAGTTATTTTCCTACAGTGAAGTAAAAATGAAAATAATTCAAATGGCTTCCTTCTATCACAAAAAAGTAAAGGCATGACTACTATGCTACTGGCCTTTTATCAAAATATCTTTCTGTAGAGCTGTCTTAATGCTATCCTATGTCTGGATGGGAAATAGTTTAGCTAAGATCAGGAAGTCACACCCTTCAAGGAGTGATGAGCAGTCCAGCTATTTCTAAGGACTCAGCTGCGTGAATCTGTATGCTAATGCATTTTTCTTTGTTAGAAAGAATGACCAGCTTTCAGTTCATAGGAACTTTAGTTAGATTCTATTCTTAGATCTAATGAGTCACTATGCCTCTTGAGTCTTAATTGCTATGATTTTAATGTTAAATGAAGAAAACTGAACCTGTAAAGTAGAAAGATCTCAGAGTACACCAAGGAACAATCTTCTTGAGGTCTCTTAAGAAGAAGTATAGAAGTTCCCCTCTACACATAATAATGAAAACAATTCTTTACCCAGTTACTTTATGTAGGCTAGGGGTTTTTAACCTAGAGTCTAAAATTTTTTTTAATTAGTAACTATATTTCAGTATAATAGGTTTAATTTTACAATTCTATATTTTATTTTATGGCTTTAAAAACAATTTTCTGAGCAGAGGTACATAGGCTTTTCTAGATCGCCAGAGGGGTCCCTGGCAACAACAAAAAAGGTTAAGATCCTGGCTTTAAGCATTCCTTGAGCCATTTACAGAGGAAGACTTCTCTGGAAGGTTAATCCTAAATAAAGATTATTAAAATTAGATTACTTGCCTACAGATTAGCCACAGTGCAAAACAAAGCTAGGAAAGCAGTTTAGAGGAGCACAAACTTGCAGCTTGTTAGCAATGGGGCAGGCCTAGGGAAAGCAGTGTTAAAGTGCCCGGAGTCTGAAGGAGGCAAAAGAGAAGGCAAGGGTAGGTAGGAAGAAAACTGCTTTACAACTTTGCCTGGGGCCTAACTAGAGGAACATTCAGAGGAGGAAAAAATTGGCAGACCATTGTCTTCCAGTAATGTTAAATAATTTTCAATCAACTTTTATTTAAAATTTTTATTCAGTTTAAAATTACCTTGCAGGAGTTTTAAGATTCAAGAGCTAGAATAAATGTCACCCACTTTACACATGAGTAAAGTGAGGCCCAGAGAAGTAAAATGGCCAAGAATTTAGATGTGGTAAGCAGCAAAGCCTGGGTTTTTACTCACTCTAAAGCTAATTTTTCCACTAACCATACTGCCTCCCAAAGGGTCAGTTTCATTATCTCCATGACTATCTTTAAGGGATTTGAGTGGGGAGGGGCAGAAAGAGTAAGCAAAAGGAACTTCTAGTGAACCTCAGTTTCCTCATCCATAAAATGGGACATTACCTACTGAACCCATCCTTCTAGTCTGTTGTGGGACAACCAATGGATAATGCTGGGGCTTCAAGTGCTAAGTAAAGGTCAGTTCTTTTGAAAAACTGTCAGACTTCTTTGAAAAGATACTTTACTGAATGCGTTAAGTCTGCGCTTGTGATCAATAGTAACATTTTTGACTTATATAAACACAACTCAACTAAATCTGGTGCAGGGATGCTAATACTTTTTTTCTTTCATTTAAGCACAAGTACTTTTTTCTTATTTTAACACTTCTTTTATCAAATAAAAATTATGAATGCTTTTTAAAAAATAATAATCAAGCAATACTCCAATACTTTATTTGAATTCTGAGCTCAATGTAACAAGCAGAGAGTACCCTAGCCACTAACATTTTTAAAACATTGGATTGTCATTTGCAATCTGGAGCATACTAAGCCCTTAATTAGTAACAGCAGGTGCTGAAGTGCTTAAAGCAAACTACTGCATTTCACCGAGTTGTTATTTATGTCGTTGTTATCACAACAAACAGCACTGACTCAATCAGTGGCAGCTGCACCACAATAACCCCTATTCTAAGAGCAAATGCTGGACTCCTGTTTCCTCAGGAGTGAGGGGATTTAAACTGCCACGCCCGGAGAAACATGCAGCACTTAGCCCAAATACAACAAGAAGCACTATTAGGGCTTCAATTTTCTTGAAGACAGAGACTAGTTCTATCCTTTTGTACCTACTGCCTAGGTACATTACTTAGGTATACAGTAGACAAAGTTCAGTTTTGTGTAGGTATTAAAGATATATTCTTGTACAGTAGTAATACTTTTGAATTTAAATGAATCCACCTCGACCTTCAATTAAGACAGACGTGTTAAGTATTCTGCTCAGGCCCACCCCTCCCAGTGCTACCACTTTACTTTCAGGAAGCTCATTTTGGTTGACTTAAAATTTAATAGATTAAGAAAATAAAGATAAGCTTTAGGAAGCAATTCCCGTCCAAACTTAGAGATCTGACAAAGGGAGAATGTGTAAGCTACCATAACTATAACAAAGGAACAGAAATACTCTTTCTTTCTAGTAATATTTTGGATTTTCCATTATTCTAATTGTTAAACACATCATTGGTCATAAATTTGGATTAAGATACAAGAGATTTCAGGACTCTACCTCAGGCTCTATTTCAACTAATGATTAAATAATAGAAAGGAGGTCAACTTCTGTTTCAGAATGAAATGCTAGAAAATAAAATTTTCAAGTTTTAAAACTAAGGGATCGATTGAAATAAATGGCTTCGAAATTTTTCACTTGGTCTCTCTTTTTAAAAACTGCACCTTAATCTAGGGAAATGAAATGGCAGGCCACGTGGGCTAAAGAGTCCACCTGTTTTTCCTCTTTTGAAAAGCCAAGCTTTCCCTTATCCGTCTCTATCATCTGGCTCTTTTTGAAGATCAGCAGACCACACCCCACAGCTTGGGGAAAACGTGGGGAAGCAGATAACTGAAAGAGCTTTCCCTTCTCTCAGTCCCACAGGGTGCAGGGTTCTTAAACCCCACTGGGGTTGCCCCCCTGGCACCCTGGGTGTTTACTACACAGGGTGGAAATGGGGCAGGCCTGCGAGTGGCAGCCAGCCCAGCTGAAGGAAGCCTCTTGTGGCACTGTCAACTGCTTTTTTTTTTTTTAACCAACCCTAGCCTTCCAGCTCTATGCCCCTGTTCAGTGTACTCGATGCCCACATATGTAGAGAGCGAGTTCTGGCAATACAGAACGAACGAATAATTCGGCGCAGGCCTGTCCTGGCCTGGAGGGCGAAGCTCTCAGCCTGGCTACGCCTTCTTAACCCTCCAGTTTCTCGACCCCTTACCTTGGAAAAGACGTGGTATCGATCAGCGCTCGTAATTGAACCCGCCATGACCCTACTCCCCACGTGCTGCGGGGAGCCCTGAAAGCGCTGCACCCCGAGGGAACTCAGACAGAAGGCAGTCTCTGCCTCTACCTGGCCAGCCCTGGGCGGCGGCCGCTGCTGCTACAGCTGCAAGCAAATGGCTCGTGCCTTTGCAGCTGAGGGCCCTCCCCGTGCGTCCGGCGCAGCCTTAAAGTGGCCCAGACTGACCTAGCCTGGAGCCCCTTCAGGCCTGGCCGCCCAGCTTGAGCACCACCATACGCAAGGTTTGCTTGTGTGTGTATGTGTTTAAACGACTAAAACGCTGGGCTAAAACGTTGGGACAGGTGGGTTTGCTCACTAGGGTCACCCCTGAAGCTTGTTGTATACGGTTGAGTTGGAAGCTTTCCTTCAACTCAGTGAGAACTTTTAGAGTTCCCAGAAATTGCATGACAATTGCCACTGAGGGTAATCATGAGCCTTAACAAGTCCTAAATGATTATTAAAGGAGGTTCTTCATGGGTCTCTTTGGAACCTGTTTCAGTAAATTCCATTGCATGCCGTTGCCTATTTTTTTTTTTTAGAAACTGATACACAGGAGAAAGCTTACAGTGGATACATAGTTATAGTTAATACATCCGCATTTGGATCTTTTCCCCTTATACCTATTTTATTTATTATGATTTCTCCACTGATGGGTGGGGTGAGGGGATGTAGATAAAGAGAGGGAGTTAGTACTTGTCATTTCATATTTTCGAGGAATCTTGAGATCTCACTTGTATTTCCAATACCAAAATGTTTTACTTGAACAGCTGTGACAGGTGGGCTCTGGGCAAGCTTGCCATCATTGGTTCATGAACTGCACCATATGTAGCCTGCTGATGGTATGTCATACAGGCCTAATTTATATCATGAGGGCATGACAATGCCATTATGGTATATTATAATATGGTAGGAGGAAGGGAAGAGAGCTCTTCCCTATTCTTACACCACGTTGCTCTACATAACTCCTACAGATTGCCTACCCAAATAAAGTTTAAACTTTCTTCACCTGACCCTTCATGTTCTTGTGCCACCCTATATGTCCAGCTATATGTCACATTCTCCCATGGACCATTTACTAACCTACTACTGCATATATGTTCGACACTATTCCAACCTCCATGCCTGCCTAAGTAGTTCCCTATGCCTGGAATGCCCAGCACTCTTCCTCTACCCACTGTAGAATACCCATTCTTTTTTTTTATATAAATTTATTTATTTTTAGTTTCCAACATTCACTTCCACAAGTTTTTGAGTTCCAAATTTTCACCCCATCTCCCCCCTTCCCCCACCCCAAAATGGCAGGCATTCTGAATATGCCTTCCCCTAGTCTGTCCTCTCTTCTATCTCTCTCCCCTTCCCCTTCTATTTTCCTGTAGGGCAGGATAGACTCCTGTACCCCATTTCCTGTATTTCTTATTTCCCAGTAGCATGTGAAAACATTTTTATTAAACATACATTTTTAAAACTTTAGGTTTCAAATTTTCTCTCTTCCTCCCTCCCCACCCACCCTCATTGAAAAGGTAAGCAACTCAATATAGGTTGTACATGTGTAGTTATGCAAAACACGTCCATAGTAGACATGTTGTGAAAAACTAACTCTATTTCCCTTAATCCTATCCTGCCTTCCTGTTTATTCTATTCTTTCTTTTGACCTCAGAAGTATTTACTTCTGATTACCCCCTTTCCCAATCTGCCCTCCTCTCTATCATCCCCCTGCTCTCTTGTCCCCTTCTTCCCCTATAGAATACCCATTCTTTAAAACCCAGCCTGAATGTCACTTTCTCAACAAGGCCTTCCCTCAGCTCCCCATCTCCACCAATTACTAATGACCTTACCCCTCCTTAACCTCTGACTTTGCTAGAACCTTTCATCTATGATTCTATTTATTAGTTTGTACATATTTGTACATATTTTATATTAGAATTATTTCACTGTGTATTAATATTTCACCTTCCAAGGCAAGAGGTCAGGAACAGGATCTTACTTAAATTCTGTTTTTCCTCCAGAATCTTAACATTTTTTTGTCATTCATCCTTCGTTTTCAAAGAGACTGATGACATCACAATTGATGTCTTGTGTGTGATTTGGTTTAAGTGAGTCAGAGTTGCACAAAGTTATCAGCCTCACTCTTTCTTCCAGAGTCATCAAAGTCCAGTGGCAGGAAAAAAGTCAAGATGACTGGTGATGGCCCAAGATGCAGTGGATGACCTTGGCATCTTCAATGACTGACCAAGCTCTAAGTGCTCCACAGTGCCTCCTTTAGCTGCTTTCAGGGCCATTGGAACAAATTGTTCTTGTCAATCCATTCTACCACGAAGTCTTCACATGCTTGGGGTAGATATCCTCCTAACTCAAAAAACTCAGTTGCCTTCAACCTGGTTTAGCCTGTCTGCTGAGATGGTTTACTGGAGTGTGGCTGCTCCACATGCTACAGCTTCTTAGAGCCACTGGTGAGAGTTGGGTGAATCATGTATACACCTTAAGTGGATGAATTTCCCTGAAAAGGGCTCAATAAGCCCTCATGCCAGAAGTACTAGTCCTCCCTGAACACCCCATAGAGGAAGTGCTTAATAAACGTTAAGTTTGCACTTGACAAATAGATGCGTTAATAGGAGAAAATAAATAGAAATGTGTTTCCTATTTCTTGTTGCTTTTCTACTTTTAAAAATTCCAGTTCCTGGAAAATAAAAATGCATTCAACCTTTAAAATTCTGGAAAGCAGAACTAGTAACAGTTTTCCTTTTGACCCAAATTTGGTGAACTTTTTCTGTACCACTGTCATATTACTGGGTCTGTATAATCTTTAGGTGGGATTATTTTAAAGCACACATCCTTTTGTGTTTTTTTCATCATCCAGGCTTTTTTTCAGGGTGGCATTTTAGCGTATTTTCTTCTATGACGTGGTTTATGGAGAGTACACATAGCATCTTTTTGATGCAATCAGAAAAGCAGAGTACATAATGTTCTTTACTTTCCTTATTCTCATGGTATGGTTTACTGCTTGAGCAGTCATCTCTCTTATGATTTGGTTTTAGTACGAGGATATAACAATACTAGGACATTTGGAGGCATTGCTCTGTTTGGGGAAGCCCAGGTCCCAGATGAAGATACCCTCTGCCCGAGTTATTTACATTTCATATACACAAGACTACTGGTAATAAATTATCATTAGTACAGGTTCTTATCCCTGGAACATAATCTTTCTTTTCTGTAGGTCCTGCTGCTTAGAAGAAATTCCCTCTGTTTCTCAACTTCTAAAACCAGCCATCATATCAGACCTCCTTTAATAATTATTTAGCACTTATGTAGTACCATCAGTCCTTATACTACTTTAATAGGAACAGTGCTAATTGTTACAATATCTCTGAAAACTTGGGAAGTTTTATTTTTGGAATCTCTGATTTCCAGTGCTGTGCTTAGAATATTGTGGTATACTGCACCCATAAACATAACTTTCTTCTTGGGTATATTTAAGTCATTCAATAAACATTTATTTAACACCTGCCAAGCATTGTTCTAAGTATTGGGGATAAAAATATGAAAAAGAAAGACAGTCCCTGCCTTCAAGGAGCTTATAATCTAATGAGGGGAAACTGCACAAAAGGAAGCTGAAAAGAGCTTGGGAGTAGGGGAAGAAGGTATTGGGGTATGGTAGGGTCCTGTCCAAGGAGTGCAGATTGTGGGAAATAAAAAGATGACTGGAGGCTTTTGGAAGAGTTCTTTGCTCTGCACTCTAGCTTTCCTCAAGAGGACGGAAAGTCCTGAAAGTTATAATGAGATGTGAGCACCAGAGCTAATACAACTCAAGGATGATGAGTTTTTTGGTGATAACTTTCCTGGGAATGTAATAATGATGGAGTCCAGTCCAAGAAATGGGGCACATTGGAAGTCACCCCAGTGGTCACTGATTTCTATTATCTGGTTACATATATTTTTATTCTGTTCCTTAATTTTCCCTGTTCCTGATTCTATTTATTTTTATGTTCCAAAGGTTATTTCTTTTATTCACTTTAAAGAACACTTTTGATGTACTAAGGTTCCTCAATGAGGAAAGTTAAAGAAACTAACAATGAGGGGGGAGGAAGGGAAAGGCTATCCCAGGTGCATGGCACTTTGGAACGTATGTTAGATCTAGAGTCAGGAGACTAGAGCAGCAACTCTATTTGTAAGACTGACATAAACTAGTTGTATGACTATAGTCATTCAACTTCTCTTGATCTCAACACAGAAGCTTTCTGCCCAACAGCTGCTGATGCGGAACATCAGGAGCAATAATATTTGAATATTCCCAACATTGGGTCTTTTGCTGCCCAGGCAATCTGTCCATTTCAGGGATGACTTTGTTGAAATGTCTTTGCAGGAGATCTGTTTGTTTTGCAAGAGATAAAACATTAAGAGGTTTGTTTCTAACATTCTAGCTAGGATATACTAGCCCTAGGTCGTAAATTTGTAGGGATCAAAATGGAATCTGTTTACCTTGTTGTTGTTTTTTTTTAAGAACCTCGTATAGGCTCACCAGACTGTAGTGTAATGCATAAAATAATGCCTTTCATTATGAAATGTCTCATCTTCTATTTATTAATTTTTTTCACAGTATTTATGTTAATTCTAACATAAGGTGATCTATTATGTTTAGCCAAGAAAATCTGTTAGAAGTATAGCTGGTTGAAACTCTAGCTATAGAAAATCAATGCTTGTATTATCAAATTTCTTCAATGTTTGCCTGCTCTGCAACTTATCACAAGAGTAGGAGACAAGTCCTGCATTTATGGTATTTTCCACCTCAGTGAAGAAACAAGACATGCACAAAGAAAGCAACTGAAGATCACTCATTGATCTATAAATATTCAATTTGCAAAAAATATATATATATTCATTTATTACATATATCCATACATAGGAAAAAAATTGTTGTACACTTTCTCGTTCTTATACTACCTGGTGATCAACTTAATTGTGTTTATTAAATACATATTATATATGTAAGGATGGTGGGGTGACCCCCAAGAAACTTTGATTAGGTCAATAAATCAATCAAAAAATAAATAAGGTGTGAATAAATCCTTAATTATTTTCAAAGCTCACAGGGGCTTTGGATCATTTGGTGAAAGCAGATGATA